GTGACATTCCACAGCATAGACAACTCATGGTTAATTAATGACCATTTAGATTCTTTGATGGCCATTTAGATTCTTTTCAATTTACCACTATTATATTTATATTTACCACAATAGTGGTTTAATGACCAGTCCTCTATATGCCTCTTTATACAATGTGAATGTTTCTTTACACATTTATGTAACCCTGTGTATTTTAAAGAAAATCACCTGTATAATACCCATAAATAACCAAAAAATAGAATTAGGCTACAGATATCAGAAATTTTTAATGGAGCCTGTAACTATTGTCTAAAATGGTTTTATGTATTTGTACACCTGTTTGTACTATATGACTACCCATTTCCTCACACCCTTAATATACAGATTGGAAAATCTCTGGTCAGTCACTTGCCTTAATTTTTTATGGAGAGGTACTTTGTGCAGAAATATATAATTTTAATATACTCAAACTTATCTTTTATGACTTTTACATTTTCATCTTATTTAAGAATTCCAAAGGTTATAGAGGCATAATTTGTGCTTTGCTTTATTGTACTTGGCAGGTACTGTTTTGTTTTCTTTTTCATGAATTGAAGGTTTGGGTCAACCCTGCATTGAGAAAGTCTTTTGGCACCATTTTCCCAGCAGTACTTGCTTACCTCATATCTGTGTCAACTTTTGGTAATTCTAGTTATATTTCAAGCTTTGTCATTACTATATCTGTTATAGTGATCGGTGATGAGTGATTTTTGATGTTACTATTGTAATTTTTTGGGGTGCCATGAACCACACCCATGTAAGAGTGAACTTGACAAATGTTGTGAGTTCTGACTGCTCCAACCAACCAGCTGTTCCATCTCTGAGATAAAACAATATTGAAATTAAGCCAGTTAATAATCCTACAATGGCCTCTAAGTGCTCAACTGAAAAGAAGAATGACATCTCTCTCATTTTCAGTCAAAGATTAGAAATGATAAGCTTAGTGAGGAAGACATGTCAAAAGCTGAGCTAGGTCAAGTTAGACCTCTTACATCACTAAATGCAAAAGAAAAGGTCTTGAGGGACATTAAAAGTGCTACTCCAGTGAACACATGAATAATAAATGAAAAGCTAATATGGAAAAAGTTTTAGACTGCTAGAAGATTAGACAGTCACAATATTCCCTCAGGTTAAAGCCTAATCTGGAGCCAGACCCTAACTCTTCTCAATTTTCTGAATGCTGAGAGGGGTGAAGGAGCTGCAGCAGAAAAGTGTGAAGCGCGCAGAGGTTGTTGGTTCATGAGGTTTAAGGGAGAGGCAGTCTCTGGAACATAAAAGTTTGAGGTGAAGCAGCAAGTGCTGATGTAGAAGCTGCAGCAAAGTGATCCAGAAGATCTAGCTAAGATAGTTGATGGAGGCTACACTAAACAACAGATATTCCATGTAGACAAAACAGCCTTAAATTGGAAGAAGATGCTATCATAGCTAGAGAGAAGTTAAAGCCTGACTTCAAAGTTTCAAAGGACAGGCTGACTCTTGTTAGGGGCTAAGGCAGCTGGTGATTTAAGTTGAAGCCAGTGCTCATTCATCATTCCCAAACCCGGGTGCCCTTAAGAATTATGCTAAATCTCTCAGGTGTAGTATTGTACAAAAATAAACAATGTTGTAAAATATATATAAATAAATAATTTTTTTTTTTTAAAAGGTAAAGGTTAATAAAGATGAAGAAATGATGATGGGATCCAAGAGAATAGGTGAACCTAAAAATTACTATTAATAAAGGTGAAATAGGGCCTCCCCGGTGGCGCAGCTGTTGAGCGCTGGGTTGCAAAGTTGCCTGCAGCCTCTGCAGCACTGGTTCGATTCCCGGCTGCTCCCCGGCCATCACAGGAGGGTCCCACATGGCTCGCAGAACTCTCCTGCGGCCCACTGCTCCCCTCAGCAGTGTACTTCGGTCCTTCTGCCTGCTGTGCTCCCCTCTCTGGCTCTGGTGAATTCTCTCACCCTCCCATACTTCTGACTGTACCCAGTGCTTGTATAAACAAACAAACAAACAAACAAACCAACAAACAAATAAATAAATAAATAAATCTTAAAAAAAAAAAAAAGGTGAAATAGTTTCAGTTAACAAAAGAAAGAATTATGCTAAATCTATTTTGCCTGTGCTGTGTAAATGGAACATTACAGTCTGGATGACAGCATGCCTGTTTACAGGATCACTGAATATTTTTAACCTACTATTTAGATCTAGTGCTCAGAAAATGATTGTTATCATGTATTACTTCTCATTACAATGCACCCAGTCACACAAGAGTTTTAATGGAGATGTACAAGGAAATTAATGTTTTCATGCCTCCTAACCCAACATCCATTCTGCAATCCATGGATCAGTCATTTCATCTTTCAAGTCTTATTATTTAAGAAATACATTTCATAAGTTATAGCTCTCATAGATAGCAATTGTTCTGATGGATGTGGTTAAAATCAATTGAAAACCTTCTGGAAGGATTTACTGTCTTGATGCTATTATAAACATTCACAATTCACTGGAGGTCAACATACCAACATGAACAGGAGTTTGGAAGAAACTGATTCCAACTCTTATGGCTTCGAAGGGCTTAAGACTTTAGTGGAGGAATTAACTGCAGATGTAGTAGAAACAGCAAGAGAACTAGAATTAAAAGTGGAACCTGAAGCTATGACCGAATTGCTGCAACCTCATGATAAAACTTGAGCTGCAATCTACTCCTGGTACAGATGTGGTGAACATTGTTAGTGACAACAGGGGGGCCTCCCCTGGTGGCGCAGCGGTTGAGCGCTGGGCTGCAAGGCTGCCCGCAGCCTCAGCAGCGCCTGTTCGTTTCCTGGCCACCGGTGAGGGTCCCACCAAAAAAAAAAAAAAAAAAGTGACAACAGGGGCCTCCCCAGTGGTGCAATGGGTTGAGCACAGCACTGTGAAGCTGTCTGCAGCCTCTGCAGTGCCGGTTCGATTCCCAGCCAGCCAGGGAGAAACCCACATGGTGTGGCAGAACTCTCCTTTTCTCTCCTGACTCCCCAGCTGCTCCCCTCAGCTGTGTCTTCGGTCCATCTGCCTGTTCTGCTCCTTGCTCTTTTTCTGGTGAATTCCCTCACCCTCTCACGCCTCTGACTGTACCCCAGTTTTTGTATTAATAAATAAATCTTTAAAAAAAATAAAGTGACAACAATGGATTTAGGATATTACACCAACTTAGCTGATAAAGCAGTGGCAGGGTTTGAAGGCTGACTTCTATTTTGAAAGAAATTCAAGATTGAAGGGAAAATGCTATCAAACAGCAGACATGCTATAGAGAAATCACTCGTGAACTGAAGAATCCATCATATGGCTAGCTTCACTGTTGTCTTATTTAAAAAAATTGCGATTGCCACCCCAGTCTTCAGCAACCACCACCCCGATTGGTTAGCAGCCATCAGCATTGAGGCAAGACCTTCTATCAGCATAAAGATTAAAACTTGCTGAGGGTTCAGATGATGGCTGGCAATTTTTAGCAATATTTTAAAATTAAGGTATGTACATTGTTTTTTCTAAAACAATACTATTGCATCCTTAATAGATTACAGTATAGTGTAGAGATAACTTTTATGTGTACTGGGAAAACAAAAAATTCAGGTGACTTATTTTTTTACAATGTCATTTTCTTGCAGTGATCTAGAAATGGACCTGCACTATCTCCAAGGCGTGCCTGTACATATTTTCCCCCCTAATGCTTCCACAGCTTGAAACATAAAAGGTTTAAGATAGCTGATCCACTTGAAACATACTCATGAATGAGGTGAAGTAAGAATCTAAAAATGTTTTTCAAATGGATAGCCAACTGGCCTCTATAACACCAATCACTAATATTTATTGAACAATACTTACCTGTGTCAGGTACTGTCCAATTTAATCCCACCCTCAGGGTTGTTTCTGAGGATTAAACAAGACATTTTAAATAACCAAGAAAGCAACCAAGCTGTGGTTTTCCAGGTTACATAGACATTAACTGATAGAATTAGGATCCTAACCCTTGTAGAATGGCTCCACACTACTTGGCTTTCTAAACAATTAACTTTTCCCATAGATTTGAAATACTACATATATAATAAACCAAATTTCCATGACTTTCTTGGATTGGGAACTCTATTCTGTTTCAATAATGTATTTGTTTACTCTTACACTATCTTGTGATCATTTGAAAAAATCTATTCTGATTATCGTATCCATCCTAATTAAAATTCCATGTCCTGTTGACTTAGAGATCTAGTCCAGACTCTTTATCATACCATGTAAGTCCTCTTCCCTTCTACCTTGGGAATCGCAGATGTGGCTACAAACCTCTTCCCCTCATTATTTCCTAAAATCTCCTGGCAGTTGTCTGAACAGGGCAAGCACATTTATTCTATGTAGTATCCATGTCTCCAAGCTCTTGTTCATGTTTCCTATGTGTCATCTTATTTGACTCATTTACCGAGCAAGTATCTATTCATTTTTAAACATTGTTATCTCCAGTCTTTCCTTCCCACCCAACCAACAAAGTAGAAATTCTTTCCTTTATGTGTCTACTGCCTCACACTTTTATCCTAGCATCAACAGTTTACTGCATTTGTTCGTTTATGTTTCTTTTTCCTACCATGAGCATCTCAGTGGCACAACTGTAGTTTATTAAACACCCAGTATAATCTTAACAAATGCTGAGTAAATCAATCTAAAATGACAGTCAACTGGGCCTCCCTGGTGGTGCAGCGGTTGAGCGCTGGGTTGCGAACCTGCCCGCAGCCTCTGCGGCGCCGGTTCGATCCCCGGCTGCTCCCCAGCCACCGGAGGAGGGTCCCACATGGCGTGCAGACCTCTCCTGCCGCCTGCTGCTCCCCTCAGCAGTGTACTTCGGTCCTTCTGCCTGCTCTGCTCCCAGCTCTGGCTCTGGTGAATTCTCTCACCCTCCCGCGCTTCTGACTGTACCCAGTGCATGTATAAACAAAAAAAAAAATAAAAATAAAAATTAAAAAATAAATAAAAAAAAAAATAAACATGCCTCTATTAAAAAAAAAAAAAATGACAGTCAACTTATGTGAGCAATCCCGATTTATAAAAATATGTGGCAATTTTTTAAATGATACCAAATACCATTTTCCCCAAAAATATTTTCAAAACATCAAAAAGTGAGTGTATTTAACTATACTCAGCTCATAATAGAGCAAATGGAGAGTAGAATAACAACTCATGCTACAGCATGTTCAATGAACTGATGACAGAGAAAGTTGGTTAAAGGAAGCAGAGGACTTGCTCATGTATGAATTAGAACCGAGGGGCTCCATAATCATCTGGCATCCGCTCAATGTTGTATCTGATCAGGACAAAAAATGAACACTGGTAAGAAAGGTGGGCCCAGCACCTACCTAAAAACCCATCCTCTACTGACTGTATTACTCTTATCCCCTACTGTCAACCCTTTTTGTCAGTGGGAATATTTTAGAGGAAAATCATAAAATTTACAACAAAACACTGACTATATTAACTTTATTCTTCAAACTCAGAAAGTTTGCAAGTGAAGGAGCAAAGCTCTGAGTCCAGTAAGCCCAACTGTTAGTCCACATTCTTCCAGCTACATTGTGCTCTCTCTAGGCTGATAAGCTGTACAATAATAGTCTGAAGACTGACATGCAAACACCCAAGAAGGATGAAAGAATAGCTTTTGCTGTTTTATAAGTTTTCAGTTTCCTAGATGAGGTGCTCATTACATACACGAGTCTTTAAAAAAAAATATTTCTGGCAAAAAGAATTTAAATTACTTTTTCGTATTTAAAGCAACTCACCCTATTTCCTCTAGTAATCTTTTTGTTTGCATTTACATTTATTAATTTTTAAATTTTTTACATCATTGTTCATTTTTAAACAATATTTGCTTTCCCCCACCCTCCTCTAGCAATTTTATTTAACAAGATGAATGTCAGCCTCTTTCCTAAATCCTAGCTTTATCTTTAGCCCCTGTTCTTGTTACTTTGTCTTATTTCCTCAGATATAGCTATGTAAACTTGATACAATGTTCTTCTAATCCTTCCATATAAAATGACCTCATTTAAATTTGATATTAACTATAGACTTTTAACCACTTCCCCAAGAGAAAGTTCTCACCTATGATTAGAAATATACATGATAGGAACTCCAGGAATCTTCCGGATTCTTCGCTTAAGGTCCCGGTCAACGGTGGCCACAATGTAGCATTTATGCTGTAGAAGACATCAAATGAGCATTCACATAGAGGTCACTGAATCTACTTAGTCATACTGGATAAAGGCACGGCCACCAGCTAGTCTGCAGAATCATTCACTTTCACAGTAAATAGCCCAGAAAGGTATTAACACTTTGTTGAGTAGCTACTATAACTAGGAACTCATATTTATAGAACATGAGTTGGCTGGCCTAAATATAATTCTAAGAATCTTAAGGGGGAGAAGAAAGAAAAACTATTTAAAGCAGCAAATTGTTTTCTGTCCATAAGTGGAAGGAATGTTCATGTTTGGGGTAGATAATCCCTTGGTTTAGAGAAAATTCCTAAGAGGATCTATGCAAACGTCTAGTAAGCACCTTAAATGGGAGGGTACAACTTTTGATTTTTCTAGACTCTCTGGGCTTGAGCCTACTCTGAGGCCTCCTCCTCTGAGGTGGATGTAGGCTACCCTGGGCCTTGAAGCCAGAATAGGATCTCCAGGACAAGTCTGAGTGTAGCAGCTCTGAAAGCAGTAACACTAGCATTAATTAGAAACAAATTGTGTTGTGCTTTACTTTCATCACACCCAAAGCTCCCACTGAGTTTCACAGAGTTCCACCCTGGTGTTGGCTATGTGGTGGGGAAGTAAGAGGAATGCTGGTCCCACCCACAGTATGGAGTGGCTATAGGGTTAGTTGTGTGACGCACCAGATGAAAATGTTTATCTTTAGCAAAGACTCTTAAAAAGGCAATCACTAGCAAAAGTTCTTGTTGTACTTGATAAGCCAGAACAGAAGAACCTAAGACTTCCTATTGCAGGGTAAGTGGGAACTAGCACCCTGGGAGACTCAGATGTGACCAAGAAATATTTCTGGGTTACGCATAGTAGAAAGGAACAAAATTAATCCATGAGGAATAAATGGAAATGGAACCTTATTTTAGATCCATGGGAGGTAGAATTGATGTTATTTTATCTACATATACTCACTTAAAACCATTCTGGAGAGATTTGTGGAATAAAGAATCAGTAATACCTAAATCACATACTCAAATGCAAGTGCTGAGATATGGGACACATGTCTCCTCCCCAACCCATTCTCTTTTTATTATGGTTACAGCACATATTCCAAACCATTTTCTCAAGTAAACGAGGGCAACTATACTTCCTATGAAGAGATTCCACACATACTTAACAATTTATATTTTGAGATACTTTATTGATCTTGAAGATACTGGAGATAAGGTTACTTTTTCAAAGCACAAAGCACACATTTAAAAACTGATGATACCTGAGTTACTCTCTGTACTAAGCAGTCATCTGCATAGGTTCCTTTGTGTGTACATGGTAATCGCTCAAATCTTGGATCTTTGGCGATCCTATAGGATTGTGAAAATTAAAAAAAAAAAATTTAGGCAATGAGATAACTTTCTGAGTGTCAATCAATGAAATAAAAGTAACATGACCTATGTAGAGATTTTAAGGCCTCCTCTCCTCCTAGAGCTTATCTCCTAGTTGAAAAAAAACTTATAAGGCCATCAGGGAGTACCAGCATGCCTGAGGTCAAGCAATCTTCACCAAACTCTGAACTATTATATTTCCATTTTATAGATGAAGAAACAGGTTCAGAGTGATTAATTTGTTCTGGAAATTAGTTGGGAAAAGAGTCAAAATTCAAAATCAAATTAATTTAAACCCAACCATTTCACTTTTAGGAAGTTGTCTTACACAAATGCTCAAAGATACAGCCGTAAGAATGGTCACTACAGCAGTTTATAATAATTGAAGACAGTCTGAATAATCATTAGCAAGGTTAAAAAAAATTAAATACATTTTGGTGCCCCCTCCTATTTTAAAAAATGAAGTAGAGCTGTATATACCAACATGGAAAGACCTATAATAAACTGTTAAATAAACAAAGCAAGCCATTGAAATACATGATTCAATTAAGAAAACACAAATCTCTTTTTCTGATTTTTTTCTCTAGATTTGCAATTCCTCAGAAAGAGAGCTGGGGGAAAAAAATGCAAAGTATATTATTAACCCTTCTCTGATGATTCAGGGTAGGAAAATGAACAAAGTGTGAATACGGAAGTGTCCCTTACTTTTTATTGCCACAAACAAATCAAAAGTATTATTTTCATACAATTTTAAAGAAGAAAAACCTCAAGTCTGTGTTTCTTAGCATCATGCTTTTTCTACTCAATGATGGTGAGTCACAAAATAAATAAAAATACAAGGCACAAAGTACCAAGTGCAACAAAAATATGCCACATTCGAGTAGTTCAGGGAGGGGTCAAATTGTGTTGGGTATTTAGGAAAAAATTACATAGAGGAGGGCCTCCCTGGTGGAGCAAGGAGTTAAGTCTCAGCACTATGACGCTATCCACAGCCACAGCAGCAGAAGTTCAATTCCCAGCCAGGGAGGTGACCCACATGGCACTGCAGACCTCTCCTGTCTTGCCTGCAGTGTATTTCAGTCAGTCAGTCTGTTCTGTTCCCCGCTCTGTATCTGGTGAATCCTCTCACCCCCCTGTACCTCTGGCCTACACCCCAGTTCTTGTATGCATAGATAAATGAAATAAATCTTTTTAAAAAAATTTACATAGAGGAAATAAAAAGATGAAAGAATGCTCCAAGCAAAGTGAAGACAGACACATTCCAAACAGGACACCAATCATCTGTAAAATGGTTTGGCGTGTGCAGGGAAGATGGAGCACTTCTTTCTGGTATGGAGAAGAGTGTGCAGAGGAGAGTTCACTCCTGAAACCATTCTTCTCTTCCTTCTACTAGAGCTTTCCTAAAAACATGGTAAGTTGCTCTACAATCTGACCCACCTTAAAAAAGGAAAAAAATCCTACATTTATTTACACCTCCTTCAGAAATCCCATTTCTCTTCAGTCAGACTTGGTGCCTTTACTTCAGCTTTTTATTCTTTCTTCTTATTATTAAGATAATTGTATCTTTCCCCTCCCATTCATTTCAAATATGTCAAGCACACACCAAAAAGTGTAATGATGAATGCCTCGTCTCTATCATCCAGTTAAAGAAATGAAATAAACACAAGTTGACCCCCTTCTCCAGTCCAAATCTTGTACCTCCTCAGAAGTAACTGTTATCCTAAATGTGGTATTTATTTATCAGTTCCAGACACATTTTACTACTTATGTGAGATTACATGTGCAGGCACCTGTACAATGTAGTATTTTGTTTGCATGTTTTTAAACTTTAAACAGCATGGAGCATGGGCCATACATGCTCTTGCTTTTTTTGTTTTATCTTATGTTTGAGATTTATCTCTATCAATACATATATTCTACTTCACTCCTGTCTAGTATTTTTTCATGAACATTCTATAACTTATCCATTCTCTTCTTAATGGATCACGTGGCTGCCTGTAGTAATTTTTTTCTACTACACACATCGGAAAACTCCAGTACTTGTCTCCGCTCTACATACGGGAGCTTTTCTGTAACAGGCCCTTTCTTTTTTACCAGAATCCACAGGATGAAATATGTTACCTATCACACACATAGTCACACATTGCTTAAGAATGTTTCAGTCAATGAATGACCACAAATATGCCAGTGGTCCCAACAGGCTATACCATATAGCCTAGCAAAGTAGTATTCTCTTATGCTAGGCTATACCATCTAAGTCTGTGTAATTATATTCTATGATGTTTGCACAAAGAAATCACCTAAACAATCATTTCTCAGAATGTATCCCTGTCCTTAAGTGATACATGAGTATACATATATCACTGGCAACCAACACAGTAAGTTGTTTCCCTGAAATGCAGGTTCATTGCATTAATTTTTGAAAAAATATCTGCTGAGCACGGAAAGATCAGTGTTTGTCAGTTGTTTTTCATGTAAAAATTATATTCCATTTAAAAAGAGGTGCTTCAGCTCACAATGCAAATACACACACATACTTTTCATTGAGGCAAAGTCATCTGCTGTGTAGCAGACGTGTTTAGGTGTACTTCACATTTCATCAAAAATAGTGATATTATAAGCCAGGGTTGAGACTTAAAGTGAACAATTTGACTGGTACCTCAAGGATATTCTTAAGTGACTCTGGTATTTTTTTCAAACTGCCAATGAGTGGTGATGAAGAATACAATGGCTACTAGTATTATTGGGCCCACTGTCTTGATTTGCCCTAAGGCACCAGCATTTTTGCCATCAGTACAAATGTCAACACAAAGGCAATATGCTGGTATTACTAGGAAGTAGCTGTGCAAACTCCCTGCAAAGGTGTCTAAAATGAAGGATGCTTTCTAGAGTTAACTCAGTACCTAGAATGTGAGTTCTTGGCATATGAGATTTTGATTCAGAAGGAGACATCTAGATAACATACTAATAGAAAGACACTCTCTAACTGAAAACCTAGGGGAACTGTTCTGCTTTTTTTTTTATTCAGTGTCTACAAACAATTTTATTTTAATATAATCTAAACACATACCATTTAGAAAATACCAAGAAAAATTTATGTACAAGAGCTGATGTTATTGCATTTGGACAAAGCTGGCGAGGTCTTGCTACTAGCATAGCCCAGGGAACACCACCGAGGAAACCTAATATATTGGAATAGCTGTTGTGGCGTTTGGCCCTCAGTTTGACAGCTCTCAGAGTTAACCTGAACTTGTCAATGTTTGGTACTAGATGTAAAATTTCATCGGTTACTCTGCAACTATTAAGACTTCTTATATCTAATTTTTTAAGTAGACTGTCATTTTGTAGGTCCAAATCTTCTGAACAGTCTGCAATGCTAATCTTGCAAACAAAATATCAATCTCTATTCCATCAAAACACTGTTTGATAACGGGTATAAATGCCTCTTCAACAGCTCTTAGATCTTTCACTTCTTCCTGTAATTTCAACTAATCATAAAATGAGATGAAAAGACACTTCGATCAACATGTGTTGGTGCAACACATAAGGCATCAATATTGGTACCTTTTGTATGTACTCCTAATCGGTAAGATCCAAATGTAAAAATTTTTCCTCCAACATTTTCAATTACAGACTGTGGAAGATTCTTGCTTTTACTGATTTCTCGTATCCACTCTTTTACCAGGTCATTTAATTTTCCCAAAATTAAAATCCTGCGCTGCAGTTCCTCTTCCTCTTCAAAAACCCCAAAGGGCTTCAGCGTCTCAATAAATTCTGTGCAAGTATGCAGTCAGTTTCCTTGGCTGCTGCTAAGCTGATAGGAGAGGTAATGCTATAGTGTTTCTGTGGTGGCTGTGTTTGTTATGATCCTTGCATTGCAACTGGAAATGGCATCAGCTCCTGTACCGGCACTGCCCAGTCACTCCAACCACCAATGCTGCCACTGTGGGCATGATCCACTGAGGCGGGAGGCGGGGGGTGGGTTGGGGTGGGGGGCCCTGCCTCAGCCCTGGGTCTAATCCCACTTCCGCTCCTGCCTCTTTAAGCACTTCTCCTCCTTCCCCTTCGTCCTAACATCTAGGGGAACTGCTAAAAGGAGGCCTACAATACTAATATGAATGAGTAACCCAGTTCAAAAGGCTTCAGCTTAAAAATCTGTAACATTTAAATGTTTGCTTTCCTAATCATAATGATAAACTAGTTTTGTAGAATTTTTATTTAAACTAATTATTCAAGAAATCTTTGGAGAGCAAGTAGAAGAAAGCAGAAGAATCTTCAGTATACCAATCTAGAATAAATCTAGATCAGACCAGCCTACCTGAGAGCCACTCGATACTTCTGTCCCAATTTCTCAATTTCAGCCATTACACAGTCAGTTATACAAGGGATACCTGCCAGGAAAAATACATATTAAAACCGAAATGGCAAAAAAAAAAAAACAAAAAAAACTGAAATGGCAAAGAAACTAATTTTACTCTCCCTGAATTATATCCTGTTCAGTCATTCAAAAACCCAAGAGACGTATGGAATGACAGAAATAGCACACTGAAATGAACAAAGAACTAAAAGGAGACTAAACCCCCATTTATAAGGAAATTGTCCCAAACATATATCACAGATATAAGAGAACCAAATATTATATAATCCTATTTTAATAAAATGTTCAAAACAGGAAAATCTATAGAGATGGAAAGTAAATTAGTGGTTATATTGGGTATAGGGAATGGAAAGGTTGGTAAATTCTAGCTAAGGGGTTCAGGGTTTCTTTTTAGGTAATGAAAATGTTCTGAAGTTGACAGAGGTGATAGATGTACAAGTCTGTGAATACACTAAAAAGTCACCGAAATGTACACTTTAAATGAGTGAACTGATGGTGTGTGAATTATGTCTTAGTAAAGTTGATAAGAATAAAAACATGAAAACCAATAAATAATGTATGATCCATTTTCATTAACAAAATAAACAAACATAACCTGTATCCCACAGACATCATATATGAATTCTTAAAACTGCCTCTCTCTGAAGAAAAACATTATACGAAATTTTCATTTTTTGTGTGCTAGAAATTTTTTACAAGAACATTAATACTTTTGAAAGCAAAGTTAAGACACTTTAAGCAAACATACAACGTCCAGGGGAAAAAACATTTGTAAATAGAGGGATGAAGTCAGTGAGATCAGTCGCAGAATCAGAGGGCAACATGTGCCATGTTTAAGTGGGAGCAGGGACATAGGCCCAGGAATTTCACTATAAAGGTAGGAAAGTAACAAGCAAGAGAAAATTCCCATCTATTTTACAAACTATCCACAATGATGGCCAAAGGACACTGTTTTCTGAATTGTGAAAGCATAGCTATTTCCAGTCAAGCATGCATTACATTTCAATTTGCTATGGTGAGTCAATTAAATGGTCAGCAATTCATTTAACTAGAACTCCTCTTTTCATGTATTCATATAAATATGATGATTCTATACAAATGTGACAGAAATGTAATAGTATGATACTCACACTTGGCATATAAACAGTCCATCATAGACTGCACTAAGTCCAATTTGGCTTTAATGGAAAAGTTGATAAAGTTGGTATCAACCAGGATGTGGTATGGTGGGCCCAGTTGTGTGTTATATTGGAAGAATAAGCAGGAAGGGTGTTGGGTGCTGAGGAAAAAGAAACAAAACATTAAAGAAAAAAACAAAAAACAAAACCAGCCTACATTGATACTTTGTATCAACATAATAAAGAAGTATCTATTCAGAACAGCTTGCTATTGGTTAAACTTCTTTCTCCTATTCATTGGAAACAAATCCTAATAATCATGTGATATGTTCTCCAATAAACTCTGGCAAATACCCTATTTTTATTGTTTTTTGATATGGCTGAAAAACTGTACCTGTAATTATTATGTACATATTACATTAGTCTATTAGTCTTCTAATAGAGAAATTAAAATTTCAACTTTGTTTATTATAGAATAAGGCTTGCCAGTGGAATAAGTTAATTTTCACTTGGAAAAAAAAAAAATCTTGTGATGCTGTATCCATAACTATATGTAGCCAAACAAGAATACAGGATGAAGTTTTCATAAAGTTCAATGTATTTATTTAAAAGGAATAATCTTCATTCTGAAAAGATGTCTTTACTAGTTTTTTTTTGTGATATATTCTTTCATGGAAATGTTGGTATTTTACACATGTAACTATTTCTTTTGAAATATTCTTGAAAAGAAAAAAAAAAATCCTAAATTATACCCCCAGTATTTTAAGAGAAATTTTAATGGTCTGTGAAATCCAAAAACCTTCAAACCACTAAAATTGGTATACACTCATCAATATCACTTTCCTTTGTATAGCTATCCCAGTTCACTCACAAATGACTGAACCAATCAGTTCAGGGAAGGGGTGGATTTCAAGAGGTTTATGGTTTTAGATGGTCTCAAGTTTTAAAAGGAAAACTTGAAAATTTTGATTACTTACACTTCTCTTTCCTTGAGTGCACTGGGGTCTTTCTTTTCTTTCTTTTTTGGCTTTAATCTATCCTTTTCTTTACTATGGGGAAAAAAAGATGTAAATTAAATGCAAGGATAAGAATCATAGCAGTTAATTTACTCAAAATTAACTCTCCTTATTTTGGCCCATAGAAGAACTCTCATTTTGGAACTTCTTTATGTTCATATCCTTATGCATTTTAAAAAAAGATTTATTTATGCATGCATGCAAGATCTGGGGGACAGGCCAGAGGTGTAAGGGGTGAGAGGATTCACCAGAGACAGAGTGGGAAGCAGAACAGGCAGACTGACTGAAATACACTGCTGAAGGGAACAGCGGGAAAGTCAGGAGAGGTCTGCTGTGCCATGTGGGTAGCTCCCTGGCTGGGGATCAAACTCATGCTGCAGTGGCTGCTGATGGCTTCACAGGTTATGTCTTAACCCCTTGCACCACCAGAGAGGCATTCATCATGCATTTTTTGAGTACAAACAGCTGGGTGAGAAATAGTCTAGAAGTAACATAATCAGTAAAACATAAAATTTAAAAATCTTTAGCCAATAATTCATAAAAATTGTTAATGGGTCAATATGTGTTGATTATACTACCATTTCTTTCTTAGAAGCTTATATCAAGGATCAAAATCTGCCTCCAAGCAGTGGGTAAATAGGTCGACATTTATCTTCTGAAAACGTGCATGCTTCAACTGCAGGGGACACACACACACACAAACACACACACACATACCTTCTCTTACATGCTTCTTATAAATGGGGGAAGAGTTCTCTAACATGCCTTTTAAAAAGGGTTAAATATAACAATACATACACAAATTTAATTAAAAATAAAATATAGGGCCTCCCCGGCGGTGCAGCGGTTGAGCGCTGGGTTGCGAAGCTGCCCGCGGCCTCTGCAGCGCCGGTTCGATCCCCAGCTGCTCCCCGGCCACCAGAGGCGGGTCCTGCATGGCGCACAGACCTCTCCTGCCGCCCACTGCTCCCTTCAGCAGTGTACTTCGGTCCTTCTGCCTGCTCTGCTCCCCGCTCTGGCTCGGTGAATTCTCTCACCCTCCCGCGCTTCTGACTGTACCCAGTGCTTGTATAAATAAATAAACAAATCTTAAAAAAAAAAAGAATTAAAATATATAAATGGGGCACATTACCTAAGAATTCCATAATAAATACATACTAAAGGATTGAGAACAAAATAACTGAAGGCTTTAAATGACCATTCCTTTGTTCTGAGGCTCTTAAATACAAAGACCAGTCCTTATTCAATAATTTCATCTAATTTTCACTAAAGCAGGGAGCCTGCTTAGTACTCCTCAGAATAGGGAATATCATTTCATTCTTCTATAGCCATCTGTATTCTTAGATTTCTAAAACTGAAATATTTAGGTGTTCCCCTATGCTTTCTTCAAAAATATTTGAATGTAGGTGCTGGAGACACAGGACAACCATGGCCTGTGATCTCATTCTTTCAACAATTATAACTAACATTTTGTGTGTGTGTAGTGGCAAGAACATAAAGACAACCCCACCTACTGCACAGAACTATTAGGAAGTAAATAAAGTATATAAAAACGGTGGCACAAAGTGAACATTTAAGAGATGTTTAATTCCTATCCCATTCACCAGTGTACTGGCTCAGCAGCTAAGTGAGACACTTCACCATGTTATCTAGAGCCAAGACATAATAATTAAAAAGTAAACATAAAACAACAAAAACTTTTACTACTTATCCCCTTACGACTCCTAATAGACTCTGGGTCTTCTTTGAACCCAGTCGATTCTGGACACTCACAGCCTCTGATCTCTCAGACTAAGCATTCTCTTCATGGTCGCATACTTCCTTGTTTTCTTTTGCTTCCCCTTGAAACAGAAATTTCAGAGTTACAAGGTCTGGAAATACAGCTAAAAGCATCTTATTAAGTTCCTTCTTTTCTTTCGTCCATCTTCCCGTTCCCTCAAATAACCAGCTCCTCTTTATCCTCCCTGCCCAACCCCGGCTTCTCCCCACTCTCTGAAGAATAACAGGCACCGCTCGCAGCAGCTTAAGAGCTAAAATCACAATGAGAATAAAAAGAATGCGGAGAAAATGTAGCCAAGGGATGTCTCCCTCGATCTTCACCCGGTGCGGCCAGACAACGTTCACTCACCATGTTCACGCCGCACTCCTGTTTCTTCCGGAATCACCAACAGCGCGCCTCTTTTGCGTCACTCATGCGCCGCTTCCGGCAAAGGATAGCCCGGAAGCGGAAGTCACTTTGGGAAACTGATCAGCCGGGAGCCGGTTCCCAGCCGGGCGGTCTTCTGTACTGGCGTCTCTTGAGGGGATGTTCCAGGGTCGGTCTCCTGCTGGGTGCTGCCGCAACCTCCCAGGGTAGCGGCGCTGGGACGTCGCCGCTCTGCACCCCCACCTCGGGTAACGTTTCACTCCTCCACCACTCCAGCCCGGAGGCAGAACCCGGAGATCTTGCTGTACCAGAGTTCCAGAAAGCGAGGATTAGGATCGTGGGGATGGCATTCTGTGTTGCCCAGTAGTTTTGGGAAGCACATTCTCCTCATCTCTTCGCGCTGGGGTGTCAGGTCTCTTCCGTGCAACTTAGAGGTTCTGGTTCCTACTTAGTTTGCCCAGCCAGCATGGTGCTTCTTGCAGCAGGGTGGACGATTCTTAGGGTTCTCCCCAAGGAAATACCTTGTATTTTGTCTTGGTGAAAAAAAGCATTGAAACAGCGTTTGAGACTTTCTTTAGACTATCGCTAGAAAATTGGGTCATAAGCTTGCCTATGATGGTAGTTACAAAGGCAGGAAAATGGGAATGATTGGCGTTTATTTGTGAAGTCTTGGCGTGACATCCTTAATGGAAAAGGGAGAACGAGAAGGGAACGCTAGCTTGTAATTCTTTGAGCACTTGCTATGTACTCTGGTGTTTCTTGACCTTTTGGAGCTTGCGTGCCCATCCAAAGTTTGTGGAAGGCCAGGAAGGAGTCTTTAACAATGTGTACACATGCATTTGTCGTATAATTATGAGACTGGTGGACTCTGTCCGTATGTGGACTCTCGTGGTGACTGTTGTCTTAAGTTTAAGAACCCATATTTTGTATACTGTACTTGACACTAACTGCACAGCCTTTTTTGACCTTTACAGTAACTCATACACCCTCATTTTAAAGATGGAAAAGCTGAGATTCAGACTTTGTGCTGGTGTTTGAGCCCAAAGCCTGCACTTTTCTTATTGCACAATTCTGTCCTAGTATTTGAAATCCAACGAAGTTAGTAGGTTAAGAAATCTGACCATTTCATAACCTTTACTGTGATACGTACTGTTTTTGGTTAACTTGAACTTTGAAGTCTAACTGATGGCTTTAAAAATCCCTATTTCATCTCTTATTAGTATTATGACATTGAGTGAATTAATCTATCTGTGTCTCAGTTTCTTCATCTGTAAAATGGAGATAATCAACAGTACATTTTACAGGGATGTTATCAGTACTAAATGAGTTAAAATGTGGTATCTGTAGAACAGTGCCCATCACAAGTAAACCCTGTAAAAGTGTCTTCAATGATTTTTATTGTTTATCTTCCAGTGTAGAGTATGTGGTGGTATTAGAATGTAATGCCAATTGTATTTTAAGTTTTCAGTTCTTGAGCACAGTTGCAGAGTGGTGTCTAGTGTTGATTTGAATGTAGACACAAATTTTCTTCCTGCTTTTCTTCTCTTTGAAGCATGCTTATATTTAGTTTTGTAGTTCACATTCTGACTTTGTAGTGCTGAAATTTTGATGTTAAAGTAGTTTTATTATTGAACATCCAAAGATACTGTATGTGCCCCCTGCTTTATCCCATTTGAAGTCACCAGTTCCTAATCTTTTCAGAACAGCTTGTCTCTGCCAAGCTGTCATTCATGGATAGAGCTGACAGCACCCTTTTTTGGTGCGTTAGAACCTCTCGGTAATTAGACAATATGCCTTTTAAGCAAACATGATCAGTTGTCTGTTTGTTTTAAACATTTGGAGACTGATTAGAATTATATATAGGTTCAGAGGGAAATTGCATATAATTAAATAGTAATTTTCATTTAAATTCAGGCATTGACAGAAAAACACTCTCCTGGTAATATGTACACTGAATGTTGGACTCCATTAACAATAACAAATTTTTAAAAAAACAAGCAGTTTGTAATGTGTATTCTGGAAATTTCCTGATTTCCTTGATTGTTAATACTTGATAGAGCTAAATTAGTGTAGGAACATTGTGGGGGATGAAAACGTACTTAGAAAAATTGTTTTTGTTGCATTGTGATTTTATTGCAATCAGGTTCTTATGATATAAGATTATAATATTCAGCTAGTCTATAGCATGTTTTGATGGTGATGGTGTTGCTTTGTGTTGGGTAGGAGTAGAAAGTAATTGCTTTTGATTATGTACTTGTGAGAGAAAGATATTATTTTAGTCCTCAACAGTCAAGAGGGTTTTGGTTTTTTGTTTTGTTTTTGTTTTGTCGCAATTCTTAAGAAAGAATTGCTCAAGGCATTTGCCCCACAGTTTGAACACATAATTGGGTTTGAACTTCATTCCATTCACTAATTGGTCTAATTTATCTAATTTAAGTTGAAAACAAATTTCTTTATAAAATTATAGATAATGAAAGCGCCCCTAAAGAACATCTTACATATTTCGGTGTTGGAAAGGTAAAGATATTTTCACTTTTCTAGCCATCAAGGGGGGAAAAGATTCATAGATATTGTCTTCATTTTCAAATAGTTTAGTTTTTACACATATTTTTATGTTTTGTGTGATACAATATTTCCCCTTAACAAATGTTAGTTGCTATTATTTTTCAATTAACTTGACTACCTCCTAAATGTGGTTACATGGTATCCAGCATCATCTGCTCCCTGAGGTCATGATACTGAATTAGTTTGTAAGGCTACTTCTGTGGAATATTAAAGCTGTATGTTCATTTATTCAGAAAACACTTATTCAAGGCCCATTCTGACCTAAGAATAGTTTTGCATGTATTGGAGAAAGACTTGTGAACAGATAGATTATGGTAGGTGGTTGAACAGAGGTATACAAATTGATATATTTTGGAGGAATTACTCTGTTTATATTTCTGGAAGTGGTCCACGTCAGAATATTCAGAATACTGTTGTGTAATATTTACTTAATATGATCAACTTGCCATATGGTCAGATTTTATGACCTTAATAGATTCTAGTGTATCATGTAACCTTTTAAATGACTTTAGCCATTAAATAGCTTAGGTTTAAATTTCAATTGTCTTTCTTTGGTTTCTTTTCTTGAAAGTGTCGATGAATGTTTTGCCTTCACTGATATTCTTTTGTATAATAGTTTTCAAACTTTTGAGGTTTGAACCTGCAATTTAACCTAATTGCAGTGTATATATGTATGTGTATGTGTGTTTGCCTGCGTGTGAATGCATGTACCAGAAGAACTTTACATGATACTATATCACAATGATGTTTTCCTGGTGGAACTTGTGATATCTGTTCTTTTTCCAAGTTATGAGATTAGAAAGAAATAAGTATTTGTTTAGCTATTAGAAACTTTGCCCTAATTAAACTGTACCATTTGATTTCAGCATGAATTGTTGTTACTTTCAATAACTGAGGAATTTGCACCATGTTTTCCAGAGCGTGTAGCTGAAGTATTTATTTCAGTGCAGTTTGCCTGTTGGTGTTAAGATGCTAATATCAACATCTGTTAATTGTATTTTATATTCATTATTATTTTGGCCTAGAGATCAGGTAAAGCTAATGTAGTAACATCCAACATACATTTTCTGTAGTGTTCCCTGGCTCCAGAGAGCCAGCCCAGGTTCAAGTCCAAAGATACTCCCTGCTATATGTAGTCAAGCTATTAAGAGAGAAAACACTTAAAACCTCCAAAGTGTGATCGAGTTTTTCATGTCTTGGTAAAGAAGGAAACCCAGCTGGACTGTGTGAATGGCTTATAGAATGAAATTGAAAAGGATTTGAAAACAATTAACCAAGCATTACCCAAATTGGGACAGTGAGTGATGAGGCTTCATTTAAACCCTAAGGGCAAGTGGGAAGCCATATGCAATTTTTTAAGCAAATTTTATTTTGGAATATCAGATTTGTAGAAAAGTTGTAAAGATAGTACTGACAGTTCTTACATACCTTTCATTCTGCTTTTCCCCTAATGCTAGCATTTTAAGTTTAACCATGGAACCTTTGTTACATCTAAGAAATTAGTGTTGATACAGTTCTACTATTAACTGAACCACACACTTTCTTTGGATTTCACAATTTCACTAATTCCGTTTGTTCTAATATTCACTCCAGGAGACCACATTGCATTTAGGCCCTGTATAATTTGATGAACAGGTTGGGATTTCTACAGAGCTTTTTCTGTGCTATATATGTGGCCCTGTGATCGCCATTGCTGCAGAGAGAAAGTTCATTGACCATGAGAATAATCAATATTGCCTAGGTAGTGTTTTGTACCTATTGGCTCCCAAAACACTGGTAAGTCACTGGAAAAGTTGGCTTTTGTCCCAGGAAAGTGGGTGAAGTTTCCCCAGAAGCTAAGAGCAGATCCTGATTGAGATCCCCTTCCAGGGTCCTCTAATGCCCTGTGTATACTCATCACATAGATTCTACTACATGGAATGAACACCAATTATTTACTTGTGTGTCTTATTTACTAAATTATATGTTCTAAAGAATCAGGGACCATCTTGCTCATTTTGGGATCTACAGGGTCCAACATATTGCTTGAGATATAATAGGTTCTTAATACACATTTGAAGAAACAAATGAATCCTTGTGTAGTAACATTAGGTCAATAGAAGTTTTATTTTGAATACCATAAGCATAGAGTTTCTCCTTTAAATTGGGCCTTCTTAAGTTGCCATTTCTTAAGTTGCCAAGTGGCTAATTGAGTTGGTTTTTTTTTTTTTTTTTTTTACAGAATTAGAAATCTTAAAGAATTAGAAAATGCTCATGTAAGGTTCTCCTTCTTTATGATTATATAATTTATTTTCCTTAAAAATGAGAGTAGAACTGACTGTAATGGATGGTAGTAGAGGTAGAAATTTTGTTAACTTTTGTAAGTTTATATGTGACATTTCCATCTATCCCACTTGGCTGTCAATCTGGCAGTTTGCCTGCTTCTTCATGCACAGTTAATGAAATAACAACTTCCTAAACTTATTGAGGGAGACGGCTTGTCAGATTCAGAGAATTAGTTTTAAAATTTTACTGTAACAGCCAAGATTCAGTGTCCCAGGGTCACCTAGGCATGAAAGCTGCCATGGTTTGGGAACCCGTCCTAATTCTTTGGATTAAAAACTAGAGTCAGTTTGATATAGTAGGAAAAGAAACATCAGGAAAGGAAGGAATTGTGAATTGAAGCTGCTGTTTTCTTGATTTA